GCAAAGATATTGGAGTGGTTTGCAGTTTTCCTTCTTCAGTTCATTTATCGATGAGGAAACAGGCAAACAGGTTTAAATGACTTGCCCAGGGTCACACAGCTAGTAAACGTCTGAGGTTGGATTTGAACTGATGAAGATGAGTCTTTCTGATTCCAAACCCAAGCACACATATGGAATGAACAGTTGGCCTTTTTTCCTTTTCTTTCTTAAAAAAAAAATGAATAAATAAATAAAGGCTTCTACTGTTATTTCAACAGGTGAATACTTAATGCCTAAAGATCAAGGTTATGAAATGTCAAAACTACTAAGCAAAGGCTCTAATTTGAGAAGCAGACAGAAAGTCTGCAATTTAAATATTCAAAGATTATACAGGTAGTACAACAGTGAACACCCTGCTACTCCAGAGATACCAATTTAAAAATCAGGTTTCCTGGAATTTTCCACTGCCCTAACAAGCGGCACAGTAAACAAAGACAAGTGATACTGGAATTACTTGGAGAGGGAGGAGGGAGAGTTCCATGCAAATGAGCACTCTTACCTATAGCTTTTCAAATTGCTTTTCACAGATTTCAATAATCAAATGAGATTAGAATGGATGAGAAGAAAAGGGATGAAAATAGATTTATCCATTATAATTATGTGTCTACAATCTAAGAGTTGGAGGCTGGCTAACTGCAAATGAGATAGTATAGTTTCTGTAGTTGATATTTCCTCATCACCATCTAAAAATAAATATCACTTTGTGTTTAATGGGTGCTTCTCCTGGCCTAAAGATCAACTGAAAGCATGTCCAGATCCATGCCCTCCCTCCCCCTTCTTAAAATTCTGCAAAGCCACACTGAAAAGCCAGTTAAAGATAGTATCTATGGTTACATCTCTATGAGTAATAAAAGAACAACTTGACACTAGTGACATGAAAGCCAGTTTTAATGTACTAGGTTTCCATTTCAATTTTGGGGAGATCCTTTCACCTCAAACGGGTGAGATTCCATTTAAACTTGTCGTTAATTCTTTATATCAAAAATGTGGTCTTTTATATAGATACATCAAAATAAGAAGAGTTGTATTGTGGTGGAAAGAGTGGGAGAGTCTGAGGACCTGGGTTCAGATCACAACTTAGTTCTTGTGTAAATTTGGGCAAGGGAGGAAAGGAAAGGAAAAAATATTTATTAGCCCTATGTGCCAGGTACTGTGCTAAGCACTTTGCAAATATTCATAATGATAATAACTAACACATAGACTGTTTATTATGTGCCAAGCAGTTTACAATTATTATCTCATTTCATGCTCACAACAACCCTAGGAGGTATGTACTATCATTACCGTCCCTATTTTATAGATGAAGACACTGAGGCAAATAAAGACTAAATGATTTGCCCAGGGTCATAGGGCAGGCGCACACACACACACACACACACACACACACACACACACACACGCAAGGAAGTCTGAACTTAATGCTTGAAGAAAGATACTCTTGACACTCAACCACTGGAAAACACACGAGGTTTACTGTATTGTGATGTTTCTAGTTATCATTCAGCAAACATTTCTTAAAGCAGCTGTAATGTCTTGGAAATAACTGCATTTAGAATCAGGAGACTTAGGTTCAAATCCCAGGTTTGCTACTTAACTGACTGTGGCAAACTGAGTTTTTTCCATATCTGTTAATTTTTTAAAATTGCGATACATACCTTGCATAGTTGTTAAGAATAAAATAAAATAGTAAGCACGAAGTATTTAATATTAAATATTACGTAAATGTCAGCTTTTTTCATTGCTGTTTGTAAGCCACTTTGCCTGGCACTGTGGGGAGACATGTAGAAGAATTAAACACAATCTCTGCCCTTCAAGAAATTTATAGTCTGGTACATCAGAATTTGGGATAGTGTGAGTCAATAGCAAATCTTTCCTGCTTAGCCCATTATAATATTTTCCTAATAGGTCTTCTGCACAGCTACCTGAATAGTTTTCCTATTACCATCTTCCCTTTGGTTAGTCATGTGTGCCCTGTTGGTTTATCTGCTTGTGCTTGAGGTATTTAACTCATTTTTCTTTATCCTGAGCTGTTTCCCGAGGGCCTGAGCCTCAAATTGGACAATTCACTTTTCACTGACCTCAGTCTCAGCCCCAGGGATATATTTGGAGGACAGAACTGGTTCTAGATGGATGCCAGTCTCTTTTGCTTTAGGACTGGTAAATTCACATTCACCCTGACATCCTGCCCCAGTTCCATCTATTCACTATTATTATTTATATACTGTTACATCACAATTTTGTAATACTGCAATTCCAGCCAGAACAATATTCTGCCTTTTGGTTTTCCATGTCACAGGAGGGGTGGGAGGCAGAGTTCTTGTGAAAGCTTGTGGGTCGGATTGTGCGTCCCTTCCAAGAGTTTGAGTTTGTGAGAATTTGAGGAAAATGTCTAGGTCTCCCTCTTGTCAATTGAACCAGAAGTTAGACTATTATTTCTACTGCATCGCTATGATTAAGTCCAGTAATCTACTCAGAATTGTTTAGTTCCCCATTGCCTACTGAAAAAAATAAATTTTTGATTGTGGACCTGGACCATGAAGGGATTTAAATGCTAACCTACTGTCCAAATGTACACTCTTTCATGTTTTCTAAAATCAAACTAAAGTGAACTACTTTTCATTTTCGTTCCCTTTCTCTAATGTGTAACTCAGGTGCCATTTATGAAGCCTTAATTCATTTTAAAGAAGGAAACTCTCCATGAATTATAGGGAGATTTGGATTCCGTACAAGTGATATGATTTAATATAACAAGCATTATATGCCTATTGTATCCTGATTGGTATTGGATATGCAAAGACAAAAATGAAAATGATACCTCCCTTCAGGGAGCTTGTATTCAGCTCTGACATTTCAGGAATGTTTGGACTGCTTAGGAGAAACAACTTTTCCAAGGCTTCAAAAGCAACAACCTCATAAAAAAGAAGCAACACTTATAATAGTCTTCTCCATTGATGTAGACAGCATCCCATTCATGACTACCTATCACCATATGGAAGGGGTGGAATATACCCTCCAGTTTGGCCACCTCCCAGGTCATTCTTCAGAGAATCCAGGCAGGCACATCTTCTCTTTTAATTCCCCAGGACTGGACATTTAACATCCCTGCACACTGTTTTGAAATTATTCCTGCTCCCTATAACCACCACCACTTTGCATGCTGTGTGGCAACATGGAGAAAATGTGGACAACTGTAATTTAGAGTACTTGGTAGAGGTTCTAGACATGCTGTTTCACATGGAACAAAAGTGGAGGGGGGGGTTTAGGGTGGATGTTAATCATCCTAGGCTTATACAACCTTGTTAATCAAGTATTTGGTTTCAGGAAGTACAGAAATGGGTCCTCATGATGTCTAAGGAATAGGTAAAAGTATTTAGGAATTCATTTGTGCAGCTTTTAATCAAAATATGTGACCTATTGCAAAAGACTACCATTTCAGAAAATAATCATATTCCCCAGTGTTTCTTATGCCTATGAAGGCCTCTAGAGAAGGGTCTGGGAAGTACAGATTGTTGAGTCTGAGTGTCAGTTTTATAGGAAGTCCTGATAGAATTTCTAACATAGCAACCAAAATACTTAAACTGTTGAAGGGAAAGGCAAAATTATTTCTGTAAGGGGAAATCATGCCTGACTAATCTCTTAGAATTCTTTGGAAGGTTAAATAAACATGTAGACAAGTGTGTGGACATAATTTAGACTTTCAAAAAGGCCTTTAGCAATGTTTCACATTAATTTTTTTTTTAAATTAACGGGTTGGAAGGAGTATTGTCTTAGGGATAGAGAACTGACTTAAACATAGGACACAAAAGGTAATGATAAATTGGCAATGAGTTCTGAATGAAGAAGCATGTTTATTTTGATACACACACACACACACACACACACACACACACACACACCCACACACACACACCCCCCCCCTGTAATGATGTGGAAGAGGTGTATGGTATATTTGTGCAGAATTTGCTGATCACATTTTACTCCCCTACAGACCTTAGACTCAAACCAATGGGGATAAATGGCAGGAAATTCTCACGAGACTCAGTGTAGGTGTGCTTAACATAGCAGAAAAACTTTAATGTGAATGTATAAGATTAAGAGTGATAGGGCTTGATCTATCATTTGCAACTAGGAAAACAACTTCTGTCTTTTAGTAGGCTTATTGAAAACATTGAGCTAATAAAAGAGGCCTTAGTCCTTTTTGTGTCATGCTTTGGCAGTTTGAATCCTTTGTTTTTAAATGCATAAAATAAAACAATAGGGTTGCAAAGGAAATCCAAGTTAGATACAATTTTTTCTCTCTCCAAATTCATGTGTACCCTGACACGTGATCCGTGGATTGTCAGTTAAAAACGTCTGATCTGACGTGTTTTTGTGAACCAAAAGGGCAGGATGCTAGAGTTCATTGATAAAAATACAGGAAACAAAGCTAAAGGTGTTACCTTAACCTCATGCAGAATCATGGAGGGGCCTGTACCTCTGTAACCCAGGAAAGGCATTTTCTTTGATATCCTGGGGGGCGGGGAGAGAGTAGGATTGTTGTTGTTCCAAAAAGTTATGTTTACAGTAAATATGGACTGAATATAAGAATTCTAGATTCATAAGGTACCCCAAAAAGCTTGAAAGAGACCTTTGGGTACAAATAAAAGGAGTTATATAGGTAACTATGAAACTTAACACCTCCAAAATGACACAGATTGTAGATGAAAGTTAATAAACTAATGGATTATAAGCTAGGGATGTTTGGGGATAACTTTGGAGGTTGAATTTCTGAACAGCTGACCTATTATACTATTTTTCTGAACCTTGTGGGTAAGTAGATAATTCTCTGCTCCCCCCTGTCCTCCATGGTATTTCTACATGATACTCTACAAATGGAATAACCCTTGAATATCTTCACCCTTTACTAAGAGGGTAGTGAGAATGACATACCTATCTACTTTGGCTTTCCTTGCCTTCTCAAGGTTTCCTATGCTCGCCCGAGTTCGGCTTCAATCAGAGATGCAAATTTGTATGTCAGTGGACTTCCGAAAACAATGACCCAGAAGGAATTGGAACAGCTCTTTTCCCAATATGGACGAATTATTACTTCCCGTATTCTAGTTGACCAAGTCACTGGTAAGTAGACAAGTAGCTTCTATGTACAGTATCTTTCACTCTCTTGGGCTGGCAGATTATGAAATATTCTGCCTTCCAATATAGCAATCTTGCCTCCAGAACATATCAAAGGTATATGTGGGCCAGAAAATTGCATTTTCTGCTGGAATTGTTCATAAATATGCATGGACAAAAATAGATTGTGGTATGTAGTGAGCTAGCTTGAGTCCTTTCCACCCTGAAGGTGCAGGTTTGAAGCCTGTTTCATGGCTTGTAATAAATTTACAGCTGCTACAATCTTCCTTTCCAAGCTGCAGTGTGCAAATAGCTTCTTAGAAAATACTAATAAACAATCTTATTTCTATAAAAAAGCAACATTTAATGCAGAAATGCACAGCTGGTCCTCCAAGGGTAGGATTCCACTGGACCCAAACTGGTCGTTGTTATTGCTGAGGTTGTTTTCAAGATGCATTTTGCATAGCATGAGCTTGTATCCAAGGTTGTGGAGCTTAATAGTTAAAAGTAGATGCAGTCTGCTTTAATGTAACTTTTAACAAAATGGGAATTGGCAGAGTTACAGGATGTATTTTTCAATAGTGAGGTAGAATTTAAGGAAGAAGTTTTTTGACACCTTGAATTATTTTTTGAGCTAGAAAAAAATTATTTCAATCATCTTAAATTCATGTCTCATCTCTGTTTCCTTATCTGTAAAATGAGGGGATTTAATTAGGTGACTTTAAGTTACTTCTAGTTTTAAATTCAAAAATCCTATGAAAGAAAATTCTAGATTAACAGACTTTGAATAAATATTGGCACAAATGCTCTTTCTTCATATGAACGTCCATCTTCCTGATATGAGTATTATCAACAGCCATCCAAATAACTATTTTTGTTCTGTTCATACCATACATAACCTTATGTAAGTTTGTTCCTCTTTAGATGAAAGAATGGTCACCATAGTGGATGACTTAGGAAAAAAGTTCTATGGGATACAAGGTTTCACTTTATTAGGGAAAACAAAATTGTCTGATAGTTATGCATGTGAAACCAAGGTCTAATTTTTTCTTCCTAGTTTCTTTTACTTCTCTCATAATCCTCTTTATTCCTGTTAATATCTCACTTACAGTTATGGTAAGAAATATATTCTCTTGCTGCTGGGGTTAAATAGTAAATGTAATCCTTGAAATCTTTATGCAGTCTTTTAGAACAAAAGTTAATGTGTTATTATTTTGTACATTTCATTTAGTTCTTCTAGTAATCTGTCCTTGGTGAAGGAAATAGTATGACTTACAGTATTTATATAGGAAAAGCTAGGCTGAACTCTGTCAACTAACCAAGGTCCAATGAAGAGTTCTCTAGTACATTCAGATTATAGGCTATCTTATTCTGCAACCAGTGATTTGCTTCAGCGTTTGAAATGATCCATGATAAGCTTGAGTTTGGGTATTCTTCTCATTTGACATAGACCATAACTGTTCCATATGTTTGTATACTGATTGACAAATGGTCCAAAAAAAAGAAAAAAAAGGGAAGTGGCTGATGCTGCTTTGGATGACGAAAATCACAATCCTTCACCGGATCTTGACTTGAAGCTTCTCCAGCTTGTTGTAGGACATACTAAAGTTTGTGCTCTGTTGGCATAATTGAGAACCCAGTGTCATTTGAGGGGGAATTTTATTTGCTTAATGATTAAATAAATTCTGGGGGTGTTACCTTATAAAAAGGAGTACCATTTGCTGTTTTTTTCCTGCCACTTAAATATTTAGAATGTTAGCTTCCAAAAGGGACTTAATCTCCCTCTCCCTATCCCCCTCCCTGTCTTTCCCCCTTTCTCCCCCTTCTCTCTCTCTCTCTCTCTGTGTCACACACACACACACACACACACACACACACACACACAGTAACTTAAGTATATTACCACCAGGTGGTGTTATGAGATATTCATACCAACTGAGATAGTTATATCAACTGGATAGTAACTTTAAATTTTAAATAGGAAAAAATAATTTCTCTTTATAAAAGAGTTAACTGAAGTAATTGATAAATCACAAAACTGGTGGAACGTACTATTCCATGTCTGTATCATTAATCTTTAGCTCTCCAAAGAGTTGCTTTTCATTGACTTGGTGAACTCCCAGTATGGAAACTCCTCCTATGAAATGGAGATTTGCATTGCAATTTATAGTTTATAGTGTTTACTCAGGGCAGGTGCTGAGAACTTAAGTGATTTGCCCATGGCTGCACAGCTAGCTTATATCAGAAGAAGGAGAACTGGAACTCAGGTATTCTCAACTCTTGACTGTTCCTCTATACAGTAAAATTGTCTCTCATCAGCAGTTTATAAGTAAACGATTAGGATAAGAGCAGAAGATTAACACAAAATCTCCAAACATGCTCACTTTGACAAGGTATTTCCTAGTCAGTGGAGTTCAATACAACATGGATATATCTGCAGATTTGGTGATATTGAAAGCAATAGTTCACTGAAACAATTCTGTAATGTCTTAAGGTGCAGAATTTTGGGAAGCATTTTTCATGGTATAACCTTTATAAGAGCGTTGCTGGGGTGAAAGGGGTTGCAGTTGCATTCCATACATTTAGCTATTAGAATTTTAAATGTGTAAAATCTTGATAAATCATTCTTTTTTCCTCTGCTATGCATCTTCCATTACTTTCCAGCAAATGATGTTAGGTTTAATGTGCATCATCAGTTCTTTATAGTGGTTTTTAATAATCACTTCTTAAGGCATTCATGACATTACGTTGTTAGATACCCTGAGCACTCAAAGAACATCATGTATATAAAGAATCCGTGTTTAGGGAAGATAAGTGTTTTGTGTTAAACTTACTTTGGAGAAAGAGAAGTTCCAAATAAAATAGATGGTTGTAGTAGAAATAGACAGGCACTTAAAGATTGAAAGTTCGTAGCTTAGAGACAGTTAAGTTAATGACATCTGTTAAAAGAGTTCCTATTCCTTCTGTGAGGAAGCAAAGTAATATCCCCAGAGAGAGGATGCATTAACTGTTGAACTGCTCCATCACTTAATCTTAGCTAAAAAGCTGAAGAAGGGAATTTGAGCTTGTGGCATTCTATTCTTAATGTAAAATGTTTCATTTCATTTTCATAGGGCAGTAATAATTATGTCCAGAATATTTTGGCCTGCCTCATATCTTAAAAGTAATTTGAGCACAATTTCATTTAACCAAAAATGACATTGCATTGTTCAAGAAGATAGGCTTTGATTTGGGAGCATATCCTTAATGTGCAGCTCATTTTAATTTCAACTACAAAATTTGATATTAACTATTAATATTATTATAGCACTCATACTCAGGTGATACCTATTTTCCTTTTATATTGTTTCCTTCGGTTTTGTTCTTTTCATCTGTCTTAACTATTTAAAATCTAAAGCAGAAGTGGGCCACATGTGGTCCACAACATTCGTGAGTGTGGCTTTTCCAAATTAAAATGCAATTGGGAAATATTTACCAAAATAAATAAAAATACATTAAAATATAAATAATGCTATGATAGGGTTTTCTAACTCACTTTATACCCTTAGGAATCTTTATGTATGCTTTATTGGCCCAGATTTCTTTTTTAATTTAACACCACTAATCTGAAAAAGTTGAGGTAAGAGATCCATCATACATTGCTCAATTAATATAACACAAGAAATATGTGAAGACATTTTTAAAAGTTAGATTTTTGGATCATTTTTAAAAAGTAACTAAATGGCACTAAATCAGCCCCTAAAGTGCCTTTTTGTTACCAGGGTGTATATATTTTAAACGTAATTTTATTTTATTTTATTTAAAAGGGAAATAATTGTGTTGTCTTAATTTAGTTTCTTTGGGCAGCAGCTAGTGGTGCAGTGGATAGAGTGTTGAGCCTGGAATCTGGAAGATTCATCATCCTGAGTTCAAATGTGGCCTCAGACATTTACTGGCTATGTAACCCTGGGCAAGTCACTTAACCATGTTTGCCTCAGTTTCCTCATCTGTAAAAAGAACTAGACAAGGAAATGGCAAAGCATTCCAGTATCTTTGACAAGAAACCCCCAAATGGGATCATGAAGAGTCAGATACAACTGGAAAACAATTGAAAAACAAAAAAGTTAGTTTCCTAGTTACTCTTTGAGGAGACACTTTGAAACTTTTCAAAAGGTACTCTGGTGTTATTACTACTTTTGGTCTGTTATATTGGATCCACATGTTTAAAGGTAGTAAATAATAAAATAGTTGGTATTTCATCTAGGTAGCTTTTTGCTACTTAAATTTATCCTTAGCAAACTTAAGAACTTTGCATCTGGCCTGAAATGGTAGTTATTAATATGTAGATTGTATTTTCTTTGAATATGAAAATGTAAGGTAGATGGGATTTAATAGACAAAATACATGCTCTTGAGGAGAGGGAAATTAATGTATTTTCCCCTTCCCATCCAACACAGGAGTGTCAAGGGGTGTAGGGTTTATTCGATTTGACAAGCGGATCGAGGCAGAAGAAGCGATCAAAGGTCTAAATGGCCAGAAACCTCCAAGTGCCACAGAGCCAATCACTGTCAAGTTTGCTAACAATCCAAGCCAAAAAACCAATCAGGCCATTCTCTCTCAGCTGTACCAATCTCCCAACAGAAGGTATCCAGGACCACTAGCTCAGCAGGCTCAACGTTTTAGGTAAGTCTGATTTCGTTTTGGGCCCAGCTGTGTTGACACGAAGGTACATAAGGCTTACTGGCCACTTCTTCCAATGGGCAGTATATCCCTTGGGTTCTCAAGTTCCATACTTAGCATGAAATTATTGCCTTTGGTGGGGTATAGAGGTTGTGTTACGGAAGAACAGAGACAACAGACTTGGGCATTGTGTGTCTTGTAGACACTGAGGTAGAAGAAAAGCACTCTTTGTTCTTAGGTATTCTTAACCCATAGAATACTTAATCTCCATTGCTGTTTTAATTCGTTTGTGCCTCTTCCTATTTTGAGTTTGACCTCTTTCCTTTAGTCTGTTAATCTGCTTATACAAACATAACTATATCTGTAGCTACGGGTAGGACCTGGAGTTCTTTCCTTTCATTCATTTTTTAAAGCCCTTATTAGAATGATGATTCTGACAAGTATCATTTCCCAAAACAAATTAATAAATAAAATCAAAATTTTTTGTTCTTTCCCAATGTTAAATTGATAGTTAAACCAAGATTGCTCTCTGTGTGTATGTGTGTGTGTGTGTGTTTCCATGTCTGCACATGTACATCTTAGTTCTTTTTTTGTGAAAGAATGGAGACATCCTTGTGATGTTCATGAGTAAGGCAGTTTCTGTTTGAGCAAGTTGAATACACTTGGCCATATGGGATTTGCTAACTATAGTGCCACCCACCCTCACTCTAGCTTTATTGATTACAAGTGCATATTGATTTTCTTTTCTTTTTTAGAGTGGATGAGCTGGTTATAAAAATATGATCACAAACAGCTGTCCAATATACAGAAATATTATATAGTACTAAATTTAAATACATATATAGGACTGATAAAAATGAATGAGGGAAAAAACTAGTGAGTGCTTTTGTCCATTCTAATCTCTCCTTGGAGCTTGGCTTGAATTTTCTCTTTTAAAACTTAATGGAAATAAATGCTTAGTGAGTTATGAGATGGAATAGAATTATTTCTTATGTTTATAAAGGCATTCGATTTTTATGTAACAGGGGAAGTCCTTCCAAATAGGCCTTTTCCTCTTGAAGTGGTAGAATGGTCCCCAAACCTGCCTTTTGACATGATGACTCAGTGTTTGCTTTCTCCTTTACCTCAGCCTTTTCTTTTGGGAGGAAAAGAAAGGGCTTTTTTTTTAATTACTATTGTTCCTGATAGCATCATAGCTATGAGTCAGATTTTGAACAGTGAATTTCTTTCCATAGCATTAAACTAAAGAATGATTTTATAAGATTAAAAAGGAAGAATCCCTCACATTGTAAAGGAGTACAATAGAAAGAATTTTGTACTGGTTTGCCAAGTAAGGTCCCTATTCAGAACTTTCTGGGTAGAGAAGGGACCTAGGGTTATAGCACAGCTCTGGATATTGAGGGGGGAGGTAGGGAGGGAGACTCCTTATATTTTTATCCACACTTTAATATTATTTAGCATTTATATAGCACTTGAAGGTTTACAAAGTGCTTCACAAATGTCTGATTTTATCATCCCAATGACTGGGTTAGGGGGTAGGTGATCTTATCATTCCCATTTTAAAGATGATTGCTGCATCTTTTTCAGATTTACAAATATGAATTCTAAAAGTTTTACTAGAAGATAAACATAATTATTTTGAAGTACTTTTTAATTTCCTCATTCAAGCTATAACTTTTTAAAATAGATTTTCCTCAGAAAAGTGATACCTTTAGAGGTACATCTTAAGAAATTTTAGAAATCAGAAAATAGAATACAGTCCTGTACAATTTCTGTCAGAGCACTACCTTATTTGTAAAAGTTAAAAGGACAGGAAGGCAAATTAGGTCTTGATTCTAGGAAGGTCTTGTAGAGCAAAGGTATGGTGACAAATCAGCTGAATCCTCTATTCTGCCTTGTTCCAACTATGATGCTTAATTCAGAAAGTTAGAATTGTGATTGACTTGGTATTCTCTACCTTAAACTGGTGTATAAAGGGACAATAGGATCATGTGACAAAGGGATCAATTGTGTTGAGCAACTAAGCTGTTCACCTCATTAGGAAGAAATGTTGTCTTGTCCTTGTCTCTTCTTAACCATACTTTCTGTTTTCTGTCTTACACTTCTGTCTCTCCACATTCTTATCTTAGACAAGACACAACTTAGTGATATCTTAATATAAACACAAGCTTTAGGGGGCCATTAGGTACCAGACAGAAGTTTTGAATACCTTTATTCTTAGGACTATTTCCTCAAGATTCTCAGTAAATTGAGTGCTTGCTTGTTCTCTTCAAAAATTTGTGTGTTGTTTTTCATGTATCATGTACATAAATGTCTTGTCCCAATATCAAGGCTCCATTTTTATCAACTTTGTTTTTTATTTGTTTTAACAAAAACAGCTCTTTTAGCAGATATGACTTAGAAGATTTTTTTTTAAAGAGCATTTCCTTTTTCTGGTAATAAAGTACCTTCAAATATTTAAACTGTTGGAAAATTTTATTTATGAATTTTAAGAGCAGTGAAAATGACATGAAACATTTTACATTAAGAAAATCATCATGATGCACATAAACTATTCTATTTTTTAAATTTAAAAAATGAAAAACATCTATTTCAAGGTTATGTTTTTAATCTCTGAGAGTTTACAATTTAGTCTGTTGTACCATGTGAAGAAAAGGTAGGAAAGAAGTTCTTTTAATAGGAATAATTTACTTGACTGGCCTGACATGAGTATTTTATTGCCCACAATTTAGAAAATAAGGTAAGTGTATTTGATTGGATCAAGAATCTAATTCAAGTCCCAGGATGAGTTTCTGGAGAAATAGTGAATAGTAGTTGAATTAACTTTCAGCCAGATTTTCCATATTATCTTCTCATAAGGCAGCCTTAATTTTCTTCAGTTTGATGTCCTTTTTTGGGGGAGTGTACACAAAAACTAGTCTCATATATGTACTTTTAAAAACCTTTGAATAGCTGCTTAGTTTTAACTGAATTTGCCAATAAGAATTGCAGCTGATTGGTGTGCTGGTGGTATTGTCCCATCCCCTTTTTGAAGAGAAGGAATTATAATGGCTTTTGAGTAGTCTTGATATTTCTACAATAAGCTTCCAGCTGTTTATCTTAGAAATACATCATGACATTCAATTACAGATTTCATTTAGAAATGGAGATGGTATAATCCTGGCATCCTTTAATATAGAAAATCATTTTGAAGTTGAGATATATGTGAAACATTTTCTCCCCCCATTAACTTACATTTTTAAAATAGGGCAGGGTTTTTTTTTTTTTAAAACCATTAGATAGATGCTTTAGGGTCTTCCAATCTTAGGGATTATGTTGTTCCTTGGCTCTTTCTGCCTATTTCCTATTGCCTATATCCCAGACTCTGTGTCATGATTATCATGTGTACATTGGGATCATTTTTTCCCTCTGTCCCTTGTCTACATGCTCACACACACACACCCCACATCACATATTATATATACACATGCATTATTTAGCTAGTGGGTAGGTATCTCTAGATCCTAGGGCAACTTCTGCCCCACAGTGCCTGTGTCCTCTTCCCATTGGCAATCAACATCCATTTGGATGTTTCATGTATCATGGAGAGTCACTCTGTCCATTTGAATATAGAAGAGATAACCAAAATAAGAAACATTTGTGGTCTAGGGAATTGTATTGGAAATATTAAAGCAATGGAGTTGGGGGGTAGACAACATTAGGAAGATCCTCAAAAAAGTCGTGAGGTAAATGATTCCTCGTTTGCCAGAACTTAGAGACTTTAGGCTGTTGGAGTAGTAGTCTGGAACCTAGTAGGACTAGAATAATCTTTGTTCTGAGATTTGATCCCGTGACTCTGCAGGCTTTTTCTCTGCATGGCCTTGATTTTGGGTAGTGAGGAAAAGAGGCCAGTCTTTCGGTATTTCTGGTTGTTGCTGAATGTGCTGCTTTTCGTAGTAGACTGGTACAGTGGAATCTCTAGCATAGACGCCTTTCTGGCATATGGATGGTGAGATTCTATTTTGAGTGAATTGAAAGCTAGAGCACACGTTTGAAGAATCATGCTTTTTAAGATTTCTTTGAGAGGAGCCTATAATTTTTATAACTTTAGTAAATAAGGTAACATTTTTGGAGCTTTTGAAAGACGTGTCATTTCCTTGGTGTAGGTGCTTCCTCAACACACAGACATTGTTCTGCCTGAAAAAAAATTAATCTAATAGCTGACATCCTTATCATTAGCCTTCATGGCCTTAAGCTGGTCCTGAGAAGGCAGACACAGAATTGGCAGCTGCATCAGTACTTGAAGCCTTTCCAATGCCCTGATGCAAAAGCATTCAGGCTCATCCCAGTGTCTCAAGGATGCATTGGATGATGAAGGGAACAGAGGCTCAGGTAACAAACACCAGATGAATTCCTTGAGTATCAATTAATTTAACTTTCTTAAATTCAGTAGATTGGGATACATGTAATGAAACAACCTCATTAAAATAAGCTGTTTCTATTGTTAGTTTCAAAAACTCACTAATTTTGGTCATATGAATGGTCTATTATGCAAATAAACAACAGCATCAACAACAACAAAAAACCCTTTCATGCTAGATTAGGTAGTTAAGTCAGTGGGAATCAATGCATTTTGATAATTTAGTAACTTTGAGGTATTCATTCTTTCCTTAAGGTGATAAGTATAATTACTTACGTTTGTCTTGTCAGATTCTACTCTTTGGTGCCAGAGAATATAATGCCCTGCATAGCCATAGAGAGAAAAAATATATAGTTCATTTGTTGCTTCTGAAGGCAATGTATGTTGTCTGGTCCCTGAATCTGGGCTTTGAAAATCTGGCCTCCCCCTCCCCCTTGCCAACCAGGAAATTAGAGTGATTGCTTCCCTAATTCTGCAAAAGGTTGAAAATTTAACATGCCTATATTTTAGTCTTAAAATGCAGAAATGTGAATCTAATGAATTGGGGTTAATCAATTAGAAAAGTCATTTTGAATATCTTATTTGGGAAGATAATTAATATGGCAGTAGTATCAAGGTTAGAGGGGTTGCTTATTTTATTTAGCTTTGTTCTCTTCAGATATGGAGATATACTGAACTTTTCCTCAAAATAGAAGATAAGAGGAAACAATTATGTAAAAAGCACCATGACAAGCCGTGTTTAAATAAGCAAAAGAGAAAAATTTAAATGGAATGCTTTTGAATTTAATTGAAAAAAATGCCATGACATTTTGGTCCCCTATCTTTGATATTAAGAAAAATCTCAAATGTTATCATCAAAGTCTGTGCTCTTCCTTCCTCCTTATTTTCTGTCACATAACTTCCAAAATCTTAAGCAATCTTTAAGCTATTTGTTTTCTTTATCCCCAAGAAGCATGGTGTGGTAGAAAGAACATTAGAAAAGTTGAGATGTAAGGATTATACTTCTGGCTCTGCTACTAACTGGCTGTGTGATCATGGGCAAATCAGTTGACCAGTTGGCCCTCAATGTGTTTGTTAAATGATGGAGGATGGGGGTTGCACTAGGTGGTCCCTTCCTGACCTGAGATTCTATTTTCATGGTACTAAGTTTAAAAAATCAAAAGCAAAGCCCAGAATTGGGAATGTAAAGTGAAAGTCATCTAAGGCTTCTAGAAATTCTACTTACCTCTGTTCCTCTTCCCTGTACTTCTCTATGAGTCTGTTATTCAGAAATAAGCTGTCACATTAAAGTCTTTTCACATGAGGCACTGTAGCAGTTATAATGCAACATTCTTTGACCAGTCTTCCTTTCAAATCCCTAAATTTGGGGTTGAACAGAAGAAATTAATTGTTCTTTTTAGGTGTCATTAATGTTGAAATAGTAATTAAATCTTAGGGAAGATGAGTAAAGTCTCAGACTTTTTTTCCCCATCTCTGGAGGATTTTGACCAGAATATTATTGCAGTGGTGACTCGTGATACTTCCCTTACTAGCACAGTGTCACATGCAGAGTTGCACTGACCTGTAGTAATCGGAAACTGTTGTTTCTGTAGGAAACAATGTCTGCTGGAAGTGCTAATGGGCACTGATGTGTGGGAATGTGCACCTGTTCTCACAGTCATATGAAAGGTACTGTAATGCGTGTCACCACTGTGTTTACTGCTGCTCTGAGGCTTTGCATACACATGCTGTAAAAATGCATTCAAAGACGATGGCAGTAACAAGCCAAGCTTTCTTAAGCACATGGGGGAAAAAATAGAAGACTGAACAGTTTGCTAAATGTGTGTTTTGCAGGTTGGACAATCTGCTCAATATGGCTTATGGAGTAAAGAGGTAATGAAGAATCGCATTAGGTTCATAATATTCATAATTGTCCCCACCCTAATTGGATTAGTTTGCATTTAATTTTGGAGAAAGAGGTTACCTTTATTTCTTTCTTTCTTTATTTGTCCATAAGGTTTGTGTTGGGTTTTATTTTGCATGTTCAACTGAATGAAATGCTTCTTTTGAAGCATATCTGATTGAAGGGAAGTTTTCATACCATTGGATGCCACTGAGTCTTCAAAAAACAAACAAAAAAAAAACACCATTATTTGTTATGTATTGCATTGCGGCGGCGTAGCATGTTTGTTTGTGGGTTTTAAAAACTGCTTAATTCATCCATCAGCTCTAAAATGTTCATGGCTGTTGTGGGTAATAGGGTTCAACACTGAGTCTGGCAACCATTCACTTAGCAATTTACGATTCAAAATTACCTCTACTGTATAGCATGTTATTGCAAGCTACAGATTATCTTTTGTTCAGCAACTTCAGTATTTGTGTGTATGTGTGTGTTGGGGTTGAGGGCAGAGGAAGTTGGGGAGATGGCTAAGAACTTTGAGGGTTGGGTTGTAAGGAGGAAAACAGGGGAGATGACTGTAACCAGCTTCCTTTCTTGTTCTCGCTTTTGTTTCCTGATTTGTTTAGTAGGTTTTCTCCAATGACCATTGATGGAATGACCAGTTTGGCTGGAATTAATATCCCAGGGCATGCAGGAACAGGGTGGTGTATTTTTGTGTACAACTTGGCACCGGACGCAGATGAGAGTATCCTGTGGCAAATGTTTGGGCCCTTTGGAGCTGTCACCAACGTGAAGGTCATCCGTGACTTTAACACCAATAAATGCAAAGGTTTTGGATTTGTGACTATGACAAACTATGATGAGGCCGCCATGGCAATAGCTAGCCTGAATGGATATCGCCTGGGAGACAGAGTATTGCAGGTGTCCTTTAAAACAAACAAAACGCACAAAGCCTAATGAGTTTATTGTCCTCAGTCCGTTTATATATGAAAACTATACAACAAAGGCAAGTTAAGAGAAACTTTATACATTAGTAAATGTCTTTGTAAGTCAGTGTTGAGATGGGGATAAAATGACTACTTAGCATCCTAAGAAATATGTGAGTTTTTTATTGCTAGTATTTGAATTAAAACTTCTTAATATCTTTATGTTTGAATATGGACAAGAGGTACAGGGTTTTTACCTGTCACATTGCATTCTATTGCCTTCTTTGAAGAAGGTGGACCTTTTAAAGTGTTTCAGCTAAGGGAAGAAGTTTCTTTTCTTTTACATAACTGCCTTGAACATGTGAGTAAATATTGAGGCTTTGTGTTGTAACCCTTAAGTTGATTGTGTTCCTTTCTGTTCTTTTCCCAGTTTGCTTTGTGTTTGGTTTACATTTAATGCATTTCTGTTATGTCTGTTCAAGAAAAAAAAAAGTATTTTGAAGTTTACATTTTATTTATAAAGTTTAAAACAGTATTTATTTTGTAATTATGATTTGGGTTGGGGAAGGGGGGGCTACATTATAAACGCTTATTGTAAGAATACTGGAGAACTTTTCGTAAAGCAGTACCTTGCCAAAGAGATAAGAGCCTCTTTGATGTGGGTTTAAAAAAAGCATCTATTTTTATAAAAAAGAAAATTTGGAGAAACTTTTTACTGGTCCTGGAACAAATATTTTGACTTGAATACTTTGAGAAATCTCTTCATATGACACCTAGTGAGCTTTTAAAACTTACCAGGAAATTTGCAGTGGTTGGAAAATTTAGAAAGATTTATGACATAGGAAAATAACTTTGGAGATCTTTGTATTAAAGAAGTAGAATCAATGGAAACACTGTTGGTTTCATTTTTGTAATCATCAGTGGAGCATCTGATCAACCTGGTTATTATGTGATAAGTGGCTCACGTTGATTTGTGATTTTGAAACAAATAAAAATTTACAAAAAAGAATATATAAGAGCAGGCAAGAAATTTAAATTACCAAGAGATGGGGGAAAAAATCTGTTCTTCCTAAAGAATTCCCTTCAGATAGAGCTCATGGTGTTTAGTGATGTACTTGCAGTATTGTTTGAAGAATTGTTTTGTCTTAAGAAAAAAAAAAAAAGAAAGACGTTGCACACGATTTGTACTGCGACAAATCATCAGACGTGATCTGGGTTGGAAATGTTTGAAGGTGTTTTGAAAGTTATGTCCAAGGCTAACACCTGAGCTTTGTGTAATGTAAATAAGACCTTGTGTTTATGAACCTTTCAGCTAATTTGGTTTTGTTTTTGTTTTTTTTTTTCTTCCTTACATGCCAAGTGATGTTCAGGTTTTGAATGTTTTTGTATCCGTTTTTTTTTTTCCTTTGTAAATGGCATTAACATGGTTACTTGAGGTCTTGCTTATTCATTTCTGTTGTCCTGGGGACTTGAATTTACAGTGCATCAGATTTGTTGCTGATTTTGTCTGTAGATAGTCTAGCTTCAGCTATTTATGGTGATGCTACATTTTTGTTTATAAATATGTTTGTGGTAAAAAAAAAATGAGTATAACCATAGGTTTTGAACAAATTTCCTTACATTTTTCATACAAAAATCATAAATACCTGTATGCTATTGAAATTTAACTTTGTATGATGCTTAAACCACTATTTGGGGAAATAATAAAATAAGTCTTTACCATGTATGGAAGAAATTTTAAAAATACGAAATATTTTCTGATTAGCATCTAGCTTATAATAAATTTTCAAAAAAGCTGAGGGCAAAATGCCTTCTCCAGGATGCACTGACAACTCTATAGTTACGTCCTGCTTTTTGTATAAACTGAGATGCTCATATGCTTCCCCTTAGAACAAGCAATGTGCTATGCATAACATAGTTGTACACTATCATTGCAGTTGCTTTGAGTTTTTATTTTTTATTTAAATTGTAGTTATAAAATTTTCAGTATAGTACAGTACATATACTGTGAAGCGCGTGCTAAAGTGAATAAGCGGGTTTTCATGCTGACCCACTCAATGCTATTCAGAAATCAATTGGCTTAGCACTTTCTCATATCCTTAGGTGCATTTAGATGATCAAAGTTAACCTTCCGCATTAAAAGAAAAAAAACTTAAAAAAAAACCACATGTATATACTTTTAAAAAAAAATAAGATTTCCCACATGGGAAAACAGTAGCTACATGCTTCTTTCCTATACTATTGTAGCAAACCAAGGCATTGATGAGAAGGCATGTAAATTGTGCTTCACTTTACAGTGTTTATCAGAGCACTTAATAAAATGTAAGGCTGGTATTTATTTGAAGTTGTACAGTATGACTTAATTCACATCTGTTGGAATAGAAAATATATTCTGTTGAGTATTTAAGAGGCTGTACATGTTTTCTTTTGTGTTTGAATCCTTTGTACTTTTTCATGTTCAGTACATCAATAAACAAAGTTGAAGGGAAAGAACAGTGTGGTGAGTAGGTCTTTAAACGCAACTGGTGGGTGAGGGGGTGTTTTCTCAAATTTTGAGAAAGTATGATCCCAAAAGTTTATTTTAAAAGCAGTATCATCAAATGTGAGATTCTCAGATGTCTCCAAGGCAAGTGGTTTAAATGAAACATGGAAAAGAAAATTGAATTTGACCCTCTGACTAGTAATTTCCTAAGTATCAACAAGTGGATAGTTTTATAAGAGCACACACCATCATGACCTAGTAAAACCATCTGTAGAAATGTAACACTGTTGCAATGATGATTTCATGTATTAATATTTCATTCTATAGCAGAATTCATTTTACTGCTTAAAAGGGGAACAACGTGCTGTTTGCTTTAGTGAGGGTAAGACAAATTATACACTTCAGAAGTTGAGCTTTAATTGACCTGCAGAAGTAGGGTTTTATCTTTTCTTTTATTTTTAATATTGGTCTTAGTAAAGTGGCTTAGTTTGAGATTGTTACCAACTTTTCTAAATTGAGAGCCCATCTTTAGAAGAACCAGTGCCACACCTTCCCCCATTCATATCAAGGATTAGTTATATTTTGCACATGGATGAAAATTGTGATACTAAGATTTCAAATTTATTTTTAATTTTTATTGCATAATCACCACTCCTATTAAAAATACATCTTGAATGCCTTTTTCGGGGGATGTTTTCCCTTTAGAATTGAGAAAATTTGGTTTCATAATTAAGGATTATAATCAAATCTGTGTATTAGCAGATTTAATTTTGTTGTAGCATTCTCCTTAGTAAACCATTTTCATATCATTGGACTTTAGTAAAGCCCCCTTTGGCAGTAGTCAAAGATTCTAGCTAAGTGATATGATTATCTCCCCTCCAACGTGGAGCTAATTACCTAACATTTAATTCTTCTGCTTTTATCACCTAAATCTAATAATAAAATTTTCTAGTGTTAATTTCTTCCATTTCATTTTCTTGTCCTTGTAATTGATCAATATTTTGATGAATTATTCAATCAGACCTTGGGAAATGTATCACACAGTAAAGAATTGAAGAATTAACCACTAGAGAAAGGGTTCTAATCCCTCCCCTCATCCCAATAGCTTGTGTTTAGGCTGTCCTCATTCCAATAAATTAGCAAATTTTTTTTTAAAAACAGGGTACAAATTTGTTACCTTAATTAATTAGAATATTTCATTCTTATCTAGTGGTCAACCCAAATTTTAAAAAGTAAACATTTCAAGTTTATTTTCCAAGTGTAGCTAAACTAACTTTAGAACTTTCTTGTTTTTATTGTTATAACAACATAAAATGGGTGTTGCAGATTTTTTCCAATTTAGTTTCTACTTTTAAAAAAAAGGCTTGAAAGTAAGCCTTAAAATGCAAATAGCTTAACATTCTGAAATTTGCCCAGATTTTTAATAGGCTGTGTCTATAAAGGGCTTCCTTAGTGATGTATACAAGCCTTACACGTATTGGGTTAGAGCAGTAATTTACCTGTTTTGTTTTGCTTTTGTCTTTCTAAAAATTTTGATTTAAATATATTAAAAATGGAAGCAACTAGAATTGCTGAAGACTAGAAAATATGGATACATGCATATTAAGGGGCTTAAATATGGAGAGAATATGTCCATGTGTTCTTCATTCAACTAACAGGTATTCATAATGACAGCATTCTTGCAAATGTCAGCAGTTTCTGTTTTTTGCTCACAACAGATCACTGTAAGGTAGGGGTAGGACAGGGAAATCCAGAATCACCCCCCAAAAGAGGACCATTACTCTTTACATTTGAAAAAATGAAGTGTTATTTTAGAATATATCTCTAATATTTAGAAGTCAACCTTGCCAAAATATCCATTCATAAAAACTAGAAATGGAAATCAGTGGTTTGTCCAGTTGTATGTATTAAGATAGAGCAATAGGTCAAATTCTATAACACATGTCCATTTATTTCTGAACGTTGTTTCACTTCAAAGTTAGAGGTGAGTCATTGTCCTTTTCTTTCCTAAGTTAAAGTATATAGATCTGAATAACAGTATGCCACTGAAAAACAGGTTTGGATTGATCTGAGATTTCCTGGTGCATCCTCATTGATCTTCTAGCCTGGTATCAGTATTAGGAGTTATTAGTGTGAGCTTGCGACAAGCTTAAGATTTAGTTAAATCAAATAGCTATTCTAAACCAAATAACCAGTGTGGCATCAAATATAACATAAAGCCCTATTTATTCAGAATATTTAGAAATGGAGAAGGAAATGGCAAACCACTCCAGTATCTTTGTCAAGAAAACCCCAAAAGGGATCACAAAGAGTCAGACGTGATTGTAAATGACTAAACAAAATTTAGTTATTTATTTATTTATTAGCTAGGCAATGGGGTGAAATGACTTTCCCAGCGAGTAAGTGTCAAATGTCTGAGGCCGTATTTGAACTCAGGTCCTCCTGACTCCAGGACCAGTGCTCTGTCCACTGCACCACCTAGCTGCCCCCAAACAACAAAATTTATTCAGAATGATTATTTGGGAAATAGGCTAGCCAAATTAATCTGAGATCAACAGAGAGAGAGAGAGAGTGTGTGTGTGTGTGTGTGTGTGTGTAAACACAATAGCATAGATATATGGAATGTCTCAAAAGTCTTATTGCAGTTTAAAATTTGAATGGTTTTAATAAACTTGAAATTTCAGTAAGACTGTGTAGGGTACAGAGACTCTTATCAATAAATGGGAGACTCAGATATTAACAAAAAGGAAGTTTTCTTTATTAGCTTTCTGGAGAAAGGGCACCCTCTGTCTGCCTAACGTGGTTCTGCTGGGAGAGTGCAAGGGCGTTCTCAGCAAAGCAAGATTCTATAGACCCTAACCGCAACTCCTCCTCCCTGACCCACTTCTTCTCAGCTCATTGGTGCAAGCTTTGAGGGCAAAATCTATTCTTGGAAAGTCT